GCTGATGACCGTTGACTCTGCCTATGTTCTCGAAGGTGCCGGTACACGATTAAGGCCCCGACGACAACAAAGGCTCCTAGAGCGGCTTGTACTAGTTGCAGGCCGTCCTTGACCAAACCTTCTTTTCTGCGTTTGTTACTGGCTAGCGGTCCCTCGTCCCAGTCATTCATGCCCTTGCTTCCTTTAATTACTTCGCGCAACGCTAAAAGATTTCCTTTTGCAACGTTACGCAATGCTGTCCCCAGGGTCTTGCCTGTTAGGGCGACGCGACGAACGAAGTCATTTTCGTCTGGAGTCATCCACGACTGACGCTGTGAGTCGTTATCTTTTAAAAAGGAAAAGGATTGGTACTGATTTACGCCTTCTGGATGGAAGGGCAGCGCTCCTTCGTGCGGCACCGCTAGCAGCTCAAAACGGGGACGTCGAGTCTCGCGATCCTTGAAGATAAGGTATGTGCCTTCGTCCCTTTCATCAATACTCACCAAGTTCCCTCGTTGCCAGGGGCGGCCTAATAATAACGCGAACGGAGCTTTCTGCGAGACCCATAGGTCGGTCATGGTGGTTGCGGCTCCACAGGTAAACTCCATGTCGCGTATCCATCCTTGTAACTGACCGCGACCTCCATTTGCGTCGTTCATGCTGGTAACTTGGCTCATGTCTACAGCCTTTTGTATTTTTAAAGCTGCGATGTCCGCCCGTACGACGTCCAATTGTGATCCAGTGTCGATGATCGCGCAAATATCATTGCCATTTGTTTTCATATCAATCTTAATCAATATTCCTTCGGTTCGCGGCCATCCTACATTCGCTATTAACGGGTGATCTGCGCTGTTCCCCAACAGAACTGCTCGTACATTGCGCACCTTAATTAGCTCCTGAAATTCTGTCCTCAAATCTTTTGACGTTACCATGATCTCTCGAAGACTCAACGAAACTTCCGTGTTTAGAATCCGATCCATCACGTCTTGCGTGCTTACCGTGTCTGATATTCCAGACTTTCTTCCGGTAACCTTGGGGGATATGGATTCATCCAGACTCTTTGTCGCATCATTCAGGGATGGTGGACTCATCGACGCGGTTTTCTTCCGTTCTCTATCTGTGACTATTGTTTCCCCCATTTCCACATCTTCCCCCGTGTCAAATCTGACTCGCCGCGCATTAATGGGCCGCTGTTCTGGAGTCGGCGTCGTCGGTTTGGGGGTCGGCAACCGGGCCGGTGACTTATCCGTCTTTTCCACGTTACTTCTTGCAGGTGTTTCGTTATTTGGAGTCTGCGGGGGTGGCGGTACGAATTCCGTCTTGGAATGTTCCATGGTTTTCTTCTGTTCTAGCTGCAGATCCTTGACCTCTCCTACTTTAGACCTCTCTCGTCGTGGCGGGTATACGCCATCCAGAATTAGTTTCCTTGCCTTACGAGTGCTAGTCTCTGTGCGATCCGCGGCTTGAACATATTGGGGGCCACCTCGGGATCCATTGGTCCGTTTTGGACGAGTGAGGAATATTGCTGGTTCAGATTCATCACTGGATGTTTCTTCATCAGTCAGGGATGGTTCGTTTCCCCGATAATCCTCGGAATCACTCAAGACTTCCTCGATCCTAGCTCTTCGATCCTCCGCTTGATAGAAACTCTGAACGGCCGGCCACCGGTCACCTGTAGGCCCGAGAAATCCCAGCATTACCCGGGGTACATCTAAGCCTGCAAGCCTTTCCGCGGCCTTAACTAATGACTCCCCCGGATGTCGTCGGATCATCGCACCATTTTTCATAACCAATTTCCTAGTTTCTTCATTATATATGATAACATTGTTTTCTACTAATTCACCCACTTTACGACATTCTGAAATCCGGTGGCCGTCTCCCAAACACCCATAGCAGCCCACTGTTTCCCCGTTTCCTGCTACTTGGCTCCCTATTGGAATGCTATTAGGAAACGTTGCTGGATGCGATGGACCTTCCATCTTGGAAACTCCGGCCCGACTTGGCGGCCTCATACGTACGGGCTCGGCACTGTCCATGCTCGGAGGCTTCACGCATTTTCCCGCTGTTCCACTGCGATCCATGACCATTACTTTATAGTATATAGGTGCGTACTCCGGATCATTCAAGTTCATAGCGTTGAGTTTTCGAATCAAGGTAGCTATTTCCTCCTCGTTCCCTTCGAACCTCCTAACGTCTTTATCACTACTCCTTTTGGATGCGATTCTCTTCTTTCGTTCCAGCTTCTTTTTCCGTTCACGCTGCTTTTTCTTGCGGCGGAACTCCTCATAGCCCGACTCAGATCCTTCACTGCCTGATGTCGCGCTATCTGAATCGATGTCGGACTCATCCTCTCTATCTTCTCCAAAATCTGCTGCCCGAACCATCAGAGATTCATACTTATCTCTCCTAAAGTACCACTCTGCTGCATCGTCAATTTCCCTAACTGTATACTGATCGTCCTGTCCACGATACGGGTTCGTCTGTATTATACGATTCTCCAGTGTTTGTCGTAGCGGGCGATTAACACCTATCATGAAATAAGTGTTATAATCTTCTCGTGTTAAGTGTCCTTTCTTCAATGGTCCTCCAGCGATGATTTTATATTTTACAGAATATCGGCGCCATTGAGTCAGATTATGACATGGCTTCAAACGCTTTCGTGCCGCATATTGTTCTACATCCGCTGGTTTATACTTCTGGAACACCCGCTCAGCGTCGAACTGCCTAAGAATGTCCCGCTTGAGCTTCGCCCACCGGTGGAACTCAAAGCTCTCCATGGATTGTATTACATTTTGCACATCCACGGTGCAATACATTAATATATTTGCGCACTTCTCGCGGTCGTCCGTGATTCTACATTTGTTAAGAAGTCTCTCGTAATGGTCTAGGAACAGTTGTACATCCGTGTATTTTCCATGAAAGGTTTTTGGCGCGTCCTTTGCACCTCTCACAGGTAAATCGTACGTTGTTCGAAGCGGTGCGCTAAAAGAAAATGGGGGAGCGGGCGCGGTCATGCGCGGATTAGGAGCAAGTGAGGAACTTACCGATGATTCAGATGAGGGGGAGTCTCCCCTGTTGTCTGGGTATTTTGGCCCTGCCGAATAGTGGCCCGGCCCTCGTCGTTCTTTCCCTGGTCGTCTGAATCTATGAGTGGATTCTAACCCTGGAACATCCTCTGGTTCTGAGAACGGACCAACGGGGACTCCAAATTTATCTTCAAACTCTCGCTGGTCTTCAATGTTTCTGAATGATCTTTCATAATTTCGGCGTTCTTCCTCGGTTTGAAAAACATGTACAGGTGACATGGTTCTCTAGTTCTTACTTCTGTGAGCGGTTATTAGGCTGTGCTGTGTAGGTCTTCGGTTCGGTGGCAGACAGTAGATCCGAAAGAAAGCAATATAGGTGGTTGGAACTGTATTATCCCTCGCGGTGGGCTCCAATGATGTGCGGTGGATAATATGTTTCCCTTAGTTACTTTAGAAATGACGTTATTCGAAAGTTAACCAAGTGTTCGTGGGTGTTCCAACAAATTGCCTTTTTAGGGATATGGCGTAGTACTGATTGGTTTCGGAAATACTGCTTAGTCAGCAGGCTTAGGTGATAGTCACGACTGTCTGAGCTGCTGGCTTGAGAATCAATTGAGTTACGTCAGAAATAACGTTGTAAGCAGTTCTTAGTAAGCTTAGAAACTCAAGCAAGCGGATTAGTAAGCGTAAGAAATTTATTGTTGACTACCCTAAAGTATGGAGGGGGAATCTGAAGACTCCCACTATAAAATTCTGCTCCTTATATATGTTGCTAACTATGACTCATCTACACCTGACTCTGTCTGGGTGACTCTTTTTGACTCGACTCGCATTTGACTCCTTCCTTATCCTGACTCGGGTTTTTCCCGGCCCTGGTGATCCTTGTAACGGCCCGGTCACTATAGTGTGACAGGTGTGACATGTGTCACATTTTATATAGCTTTGTCGCCTTGGTTTATTTTGGACATTGTTTTCACTTCATGCTAAACATTTTTCATGCGTGACAACAGTCAACTCGGACTGCGTTAAACTGTTTCTTGCACTGCACAGTCAACTCGGACTGCGTTGAAATGACACTTTGGCCGAGTGGTTAGGCGATCCATGCTATGGTTTCTGGAAATGACCACAAGTGTCTTGGACTGCACAATGAGTTCAGACTGCCCTGAAATGACACTTTGGCCGAGTGGTTAGGCGATCCATGCTATGGTTTCTGGAAATGACCACAAGTGTCTTGGACTGCACAATGAGTTCAGACTGCCCTGAAATGACACTTTGGCCGAGTGGTTAGGTGATCCATGCTATGGTTTCTGATATTGTCTTGGACTGCACAATGAGTTCAGACTGCCCTGAAATGACACTTTGGCCGAGTGGTTAGGCAATCCATGCTACAGTTTCTTAGATTGCACACTGAACTTGGACTGTGTTGAAATGTTTCTTGCACTGCACAGTCAACTCGGACTGCGTTAAAATGTTTCTTGCACTGCACAGTCAACTCGGACTGCGTTGAAATGACACTTTGGCCGAGTGGTTAGGCGATCCATGCTATGGTTTCTGGAAATGACCACAAGTGTCTTGGACTGCACAATGAGTTCAGACTGCCCTGAAATGACACTTTGGCCGAGTGATTAGGCGATCCATGCTATGGTTTCTGGAAATGACCACAAGTGTCTTGGACTGCACAATGAGTTCAGACTGCCCTGAAATGACACTTTGGCCGAGTGATTAGGCGATCCATGCTATGGTTTCTGGAAATGACCACAAGTGTCTTGGACTGCACAATGAGTTCAGACTGCCCTGAAATGACACTTTGGCCGAGTGATTAGGCGATCCATGCTATGGTTTCTGGAAATGACCACAAGTGTCTTGGACTGCACAATGAGTTCAGACTGCCCTGAAATGACACTTTGGCCGAGTGGTTAGGCGATCCATGCTATGGTTTCTGGAAATGACCACAAGTGTCTTGGACTGCACAATGAGTTCAGAGTACCCCAAAATGACACTTTGGCCGAGTGGTTAAGGCGATGCCCTGCTATAAAAGGAAATTTTCACTGATCTCCTGATATTACGTAGGCATTGGGGTTTCCCCGCGTGTGTTCGAATCGCACAGGTGTCGTTTTTTGCCTCTTTTTGCAATTCAACACAGCAAGCGCGTCCCCACGCGAATTTTGCATTTACCCCATTGCACCGGGGCGCTCCGCGCCCCGGCCCTTCGCCTAGAGGTGCAACCACGTTGAAATAACAACAACTGGGTCAAAACTTGAACGTTGAGAACAGCATCGCCGAGAGATATTTATCAAACTGATCGTCTTTCCACGAGAGCTGTGACTTCAGCAAGTTCTCGACGGGTAGCTGTCCGAGCAGGCCCTTACTGTACTTGATCGACGGAAAATATCCACCAAAGTTGATCCAGAAAACATCCAGTGATGCCACATTTTTCTAGGCTGCCTCTGGAACTGTTTGCTCGAAAAGCCTCAGCCTCGAATGTAGAAGCAACTTCGAGCGTTTTTCTTATTTCTGCACCGATTTCACTCCGATTCACTTCAAATAAATGGCAAACTACTTCTAGCTCTTGTACGGCTCCACGCTTTGATTTCGGCTGATCGTGGTCAGATTTGTGGTTTGCTGTTCTTTCTCCTGACCATCTATGCCTTCAATGCACCTCTGTACTACTCTTTGGGCTTGGCCCATGCTGCCTGCCACCTCCAGGACATCAATCCAGACACATTCAGCATGAGATTTGGGCCGCGCCGCCACTCCCGGCATCGGACTCTTTTCGCCAGCATTCCCAGACGCTACCTAGGCCCTGGGAGTTGTTGGATTGGTGTGGGTTTGGCCGATGGATGAAGGTGCGTGGATGCGTGCTTCTTTCCTTATGCCATGGTGGCGTTAAGACTTGATATTTGCAGAAAATGTTCGTTGCAGGGTTCTGCTAGCTTGTGAGTTGCTAGGCGCATAGGATGCTGTCTAGCTGCTGCCCATCGACACCTCGCGGCGCATTGACGCGTGGTGCGCGTCGGGAATGCGCGACTGGGGTACTACTCGGAATACGACTCGGAAAGTCTCGGACACCGCGTCTCCTGGTAGTACACACGCCTGCAGGGGGTCTGACGGGACTTTGGACATGTCCCATTCAATGTGGAGACTAGATCTCTTAGCTACCGCACCGCAGACGACGCGGGTCAAAAAAAAAGTCCTGCAATTAATTTTTCGTGCATTTTCTGGCCTCTCCCGGAGTCCCATAGCTCTGCATTGTATCTACATAGTCTCACAGAGCCCCGATTAGGTTGCAGTAGTGCACACTAGACAAAACCGAAGCACAGAACAGTGGAAATCCCAAGCTATCCCAAGCCGATCGGCCGACGCCAAAGCGTGGACTTGTTGGCAACCGTACTCTGGTTACTAGCAGCTGCTTAGGAGCTGTTATGGTTTTTGTGTGTCAATGTCATGTAGCTGCCTGTGCTCTATCATGTCCACGTCCGTCTCGTTTCGCTGGGGCTGCCTTCGGTGACTTGAATCCTGGCCTTTGGAGGTGTATCCACCTGCAAAAGCTGAGCGAATACTTATACGAGCACAACACCCTTACCACATCCTGACGACGAAATCCGGACTGGATGTTGGACGGTTTCTGCTTCGCCGGCATGTAGGTTGTGGCCGCTGGCTCTTGGTGCCCAGCGAATATCAGAATGGTCTTAATGCTACATGAGATCGTGCCCAGGCTGGTAACGAGTGCGCACTGGCCAACATGCGTTGGCGCACCAAAATCTCGACCTCATCGCGGGCATCTCGTGAACTTGCGACCAATCGTCCGGGATTGACAAGCTCGGCATGCGCGTCCGGTCGACATACGACTTATCTGTCTCCGCCTTCGCTTCCTTCGTCAGACTGTCGGAACATATTCGAAAATCCCACTACGAGTATCGCGTTCTTGTAAGTTCTGCCAAAATTCTACCTTCAAACACTAGTGTATTGCCGCAAGGCCACCACTACATACACCGGAATAGCGCTGCTGTTCGCCAAAACATTCAGGCTTGCTTGGCGCACGATAATACCTCGGCTGGCGTTAACGTCCGTCCGCTCAAGCAGCATTCGCAATGGCCAACGACGAACGTGCAAGTATTGCTTGGATCTCGACTCTTCTATACCCACCTAGGGAGAAGCGTCCTGCTGCTCAGCGCTATGCAACCGCTGCTTATAGCATTGCGACGACCGAGCACCGCGGCCAGAGCGGAGAAATGCCATGACGGGTCCCGTATACAAGACAGCGTACACATATCCGTCCTATGTATAATAGATATTATAATGTCAAGTCCGAGTCCGTTTGAAGCCGAGTCCAAGAAACCAGCGACAAGTCCAAGAACCGCGTACACGACCTCACATCCACACCATCGCCATCCCACCCACCACACACCCCACCACCGCCAACACGCCCACCACCGCCTGCCCCCCGCCCAGCCTCACCGCGCCGCTCCCCTTCCCCCCACTCCCCGAGCCACTCCCACTTCCACTCGAACCCGAGCTCGCAGGGACAGTCGCCCCCGCTGGCGCGGAAGGCGTGAACACCGCGCTGGGGCTGGCCATGCACGAGGAGAGCGCGGACGCGGGGGAGAGCGTGGCGGAGGGGTTGGCGGTGGCGTTCCCGCTAAAGTCGCATGCGGAGCCTTGGCGCGCGTTGAGCTCGTAGTATTGGGAGAAGGCGTAGGAGAGCTTGACGGCTGGGTGGAGGGGTTAGTGAGAGTTAAGGAAGTGAAGACGAAGAGGAGGAAGAGGGACGTGCGGAATGACGAGGGAGGATATCAAGACATCAGCTTATCAGCCTCAGCGCTCCCTCCTCATGCTCATCCCATTCTCGTCGTCTGGGTCGCGCGCGCCCCGGTATCTTCCACGGATGGGCGTCCTCAAGACCCTCCCCAAAGAGAAAAAGAGCAAAAAAAGAAACCCAAAGAAAAGCACCCACTCGGATCACACATCGCCACCTCCCCATACACCCCCGTCGTCCCATTCGCCGAAATATCATTACAATTCCCGCCCACCCCGGGCAACAGCCCACACACCACTCCCGTCAGCGTCCCTACCACCTTCGTATAATCCCCATCCCCGGGCATCTTAAACGTACACCCAAGCTTGCTCGACAAACACGCACACGCCGCATCATTCGGCGTCGACGGCAGGATTGTGCTCGCCGCCAGCGCCGCGCCCTCCACGGGACACGCGCCGAACGTGCTCGCCGCGACGCTCCCCTGCGCGGGCGAGTTGACGAAGGAGATCTTGCCGTATTGGGTTGCAAGGTTGTCAAAGTCTCCGTTGGTCGTGACGGTCTTGTTGTCGGGGGAGAGCGTGGCCATGCCAAATTCGTGCCCCTGGGAGGAGGCGGAGAAATAGCTGAAGGCGAGGCCGCCGGACCAGACGTCGGTCATGGGCGAGGCGAAGAGGGTGCCAACTTCGGTCCAGGGGCGGACGCCGGGGGAGCAGGTTTCAGAGCCGAATTCGGAGCTGGGGTAGAGAATGAGCAAGGGGGAGAGAGGGGGAGGCGGGGAAAGGGAAAAAGAAGAGGGAGAGAAAGAGCAGGCAGGATGCGAAGAAGCTCTCCTCCCCTCTCCGCAAGCAGCTGCACCGCGGTTCTCCTCCGTGAAGGAGCAGCCGCATATGCGCATCCAGTCGTCGAAAAAAACGAGTAGAATCGAAAAAAAAAAAACCCCGAAAAAACCAAAGAAAAAACGCACAAATACGCCACGACATTATAATCCTTAAACTCCGCGTTGAGCCCGTCGTACGTGGTGGAGACGGCGTTGCCGCACCATTCGCTGTGGATATGTATTCGTTAGTATCGGCTTCGTGATCATGCGGAGAGAGATTCAAGAAAAGAGGAAGAAAAGAAGGAAAGAGCGCCGCGGAGCTCGAGCCCAATCGCGAGGACCTATCCTCCCGGGGAGCCGACGCACTGGTCCGCATACGAGACGACGTGGGCGTAATGAGTACTGAGAGAGCTGCAAAGGTGCTCGTCTATCTTTTACACCCGCCCCAGCACACAGATAGAAGGAGGGGCTCGTGCGTGTCCGCCCCGCCCACCTCCGCCGCGAGGAACGAAGGACGAGCGACGAGCGAAGAGAGGCCCATCTTCCATCGTCCTCGTCTACGGTTCGAGCCCCATGCACGCAAGCCCTTCCAGCTCGTCCGCAGCGCACTCCCCTGCTCGGAGTAGAAGGCAGACGCCCTGACTCTACGTCGGATCTCTCGAGCGCGTTCGTCTTCGTCCGCGTGTCTACCACGCCTCGGGCATCACCTCCTCGTGCGCTCTGCGTGCATAAACTCGCCGCCATGCCCACCCAGCCTCCACTCCTCCCTCGTGCACCTCGCGCCAGCATACTCGAGCTCCTCCAGTGCACGTCGTCGGTGCACGCTCCCCTTCCCTTCCCTCGCCTCGCCCCGCCTCGCCACACAGACTCGCACTCGCACTCCCCGCCCCGCCCAGCATAGCGCACGTCCACGGTGCACGTCGTCATCCATCCCCGCTGAACCCCAAACTCGTTCCTCCAGAGTCCACGATCACTCACTCCCGCCATCTTCACCGACGAGGACAAGCAACTCGAGGACGCTCGAGCGTCCGCCCCGATCGCGGGGAAGCAGAGAAGGCAAAACCCACCGAGGAAGATGACGAGCACCGCATCCTCCGTCTCCTCCCAAAAAATAAAAAGACCCCAGGATACGGAAAAAAAAACTCACTAATTATTCAACCCAAACAAATCCACCGCACTGTCCCCATTCCCCCCACCACTCGGGTCGCACGAGAGGTACTGGGCGACGCCATCCCGGAAGGACGAAGCGCCATCGATGTCAGCGTACCCGATTAGGGCGGTAGAGGAGATTGATTTTCTATGAGGCGGGTGATTAGCATTGCGTGTTTGTAGGTAGGGGAGGTAGAAGGATGAGAAAAGAGGAGGAAGTGGGGGTGAGAAAGGGAGGCGGGACAGGGGAAGGGAGAGGGAAGGAGGCGGGAGGTGGGCGGCGGGGAGAGACGCATGCGCGCATCAGAGTGGGAGAAGGGTTAGAAGGACGTCCGCTGCCCGCGATGCACTGCGCACGGCACACATTCACATCGACAAGTAAAAAAACTCA